ATACGTGAATATAGGTGAATTGAAAATATGTGATTTGATATGAAAAGCAGGTGGTCACTATGGAAGAGATGCATGGAGATACTGTAACCAACTGACACACTTTCTACAATTTGTAATGGAAGATAGGGGTTTTTATGTTTGTTTGTCCTTGTTCAAAAACAAATAAAAATTGTTTTAAAAAAAAGAAAAAGTAAGAGACAAATTATAGCCATCTGCTACTGAAAAATGAAGTGTTATAAGTCAATAATGAGGAGCAAGTTTTTAGAAAGTGTACATCTGTGCAGAGAAGAAAATAGACATGCAGAACATGCCTTACATTTGTCTTTCAGGAATAGTTGCCCCTTACAGCTGCTTAATAATGTCTGTAATATGAAGTGAACTCCCACTTCGTTCTTGGTCATGCGAATCATGAAAGAGATGTTGAAAACTGAGTACTCACATAATTAGTATAGAATAATCTCTTTGTTGCAGGGGATTATAGTATGACTACCTCTTATGATTGTACCAATTTTCATGAAAATAATTATTTTCTGAGGAAACATGGACATTTCAGAATAGGATTTATCATGTGGTGCTTCAATGAATTTCAGCAGTTTGTTACTTCCTCTCGATTGTGCATTTTTGTAAATAATGTTTATGCTTTTCTATTTTTTCTCTCCTCTTTTTACATTTTTGGGGTTTAATTAACAAATCTGCTACATATAAGAAAGGCATGAAATTGAAAAGAATACAAGTATTATGAGCAGAATATTTTGCAGAAAAAAAATAAAAAATAATAATATTCATTATTGAATATATTTGTCTGGCCTAGTGTGACATTAGCTACTTTAGCTGCTGGTTTCATTTTAAATTAAAAATAAACATAAACTATATTTTGGTAGTAATTTATGTATTTTGTGGTGCCTTTGGAATAAGACCACTTTTAGCAAATGTATGCTTAATTCTAACGTATGAAATACAATCTCAGTGCAACAATATTATTTGTTTGTAGTCTGCTCAGTGAGATGAGTAGTTTATATATACATTTACATATTTATTATATTTGTAGTCTAACCTTTTTCTAAATGCTCAAATTAGACTATATATTTTTGTCCTAATTTTCATAGAACAGTTGCCAGTGGGATAGGTTATTTTAGAGGTAGAAATGGTCCAGCCAATCAATCAGCTTCCCTCTTTGACGTTTTCCTCGTTCTAGCTAGCCCAACACATCTTAACCATTGCAGTCCACCTGCTGTTTTTGAAAGCCTTTGGAATGACATAGAGAAGACCCTCTTCCAATTAACTAGTAACACTAAACACAAATTGAAATGTTGAAGGAGAACATAGCTTTTAGAAGCTTTATTTTGTTTAAAATAAATGTATGCTGACACTCATTCCATGTATTTCCAGGTAGTGTGCAGCAGTAATATATTTCCATATACCTAAAAGATATCTGGGCAAAAACAGATGTTAAGTTAAATAGATAAATTAGCAAGCAAAAAGTAATACATTTATATTTTCTGAGTCACTAGAATTGCCCCATTGCTGGTGAGAAATTCTATCAAATTCGGTTTTCTCATTTTATCATATTTCAGAATAGTGTACTTTTTAAATTTGGAAACTAATTTGAAAAAAAAATATATTCTCAGACAGTCCTCATTATAATTAAGCCAAAAATAAATGGGAGGGAAGGCAGAAGCATATTCAGGCTTTTATTAGAGTCACTATAGCGGTTACAATAAAAATAGTCCTGATCTATATAGCATTAATTTGTTATCTAGTATGGTGAACAGGAGAGCACTTAACACCCAGGGCTGTTTTGGGTATCCCTTTCTTGTGCTGTAGCTGATTGGGTTAAAATTTTGACAAAATCAAAGGTATCATATCAACCTACCCACTTTTTTAAGTTGCCATTTTATTTTTCTCTTTTTTGCAATAGAATAATATTTCAAGGATTATTGTCAGCCGCATCTGTGGAAAAGAGATGCAATATAAATGTTTTTTAAAAGTGAAGCAGTATATCTATTCTCATGCAAATATATACTTCCTCTTTATCTCTTTTCTGCTGCCTCCTCTCTCTCTCTCTTCTCCCTTTAACTTCTTTTATTTTTCCCTGTAGCTATCTCCCATGATTCCCCCCCCCCATTTCTTTTGTACTCTCTCTGCCCATAGAAATAAACAAAGAAAAGATCAAAACTATGCATTCTCTGATGTTCTGTGTCTAATTTCCCCCCAAGCGGTGTGTGAGAGTTGTTGTTAAGGTTCACTGGAGAATATCCATTTTAATCATCCATTAAAAAAATAGAAGAGAGCAATGTTGACTCTTCTGCTTGTAGCTTAGATCATATGCATTGTCTAATTGGAGATAAGAAGATCAAGCATTTAAAACCGCAGCCAATATATGGTACAGTCAAATAAATGAACAGGTGGCTTATGCGTGTAGTTGAAAACTAGGTTTGGTCTAATTGATCTTTCAATGTATTACAGTTTTGTAAAAGTAGAGTATTTCACATGTATTTTGATGCTTTGCAGGTTTATTATGAACATCTTCTTTTCTCCAGTTGTTCAAGTTCACTGTTATTGTCAGCACCCACAGAGAATGCCAACAATGGACAACAGTGCTTAAGAGCAGAGTCTTCCACATAAGCACTAGCACACTGTCAGAATAAGCTGTATGTGTGAAAAACACTGGTTTGTCTGAGGCAGTAGTCAGTGTTAAATATTCAAGTTACCTAAGGATATGTTGAGAAGTATTAGATTGGTTGGCAATTCTTCATATACGTCAAACCTAAATGCCAGTTCTGGTGATAAAATTATCTAGTTTTATGGTTGTAGAACTTTGAAATAAGTTTATTATTTTTACAGCCTAAGGCTGGAACTGTTCTGGGTATATATATAAAGGATAAAAAACTACAAGGACTATATATATATAGTCCTTGTAGTTTTTTATCCTTTATTCCCTGTAAGGATTTAGAAGCCAAAATATGTGATAGAATCGCATTGCTTTGTGAAATTCTTCATTCTGGCTCAAATTCATGTTGAGTACATTGATGTTAGAATGCATTTCTTGTTTTTAAAATACATAAGAGATAAGTGAAGAAGTTTTGAACTGGTGACCAAAGGATCACTGGTGCAGACAAGGTCCTTCATGTAACTCTACTTAACAGACAATATGAAATTAGGATTTTAATTTCAGTGTAAATTCTACATCATTTTTAATTCAAGTTGTGAACAAAGCAAATTCTCTCATTCCTTAAATATTATATGTTATATATTTGGAGTCCAGGCTCAGAGTTGTCCCCATGTGGTCTAACATCTTGTGAAATCATTGGAAGAAGTCATCTGAAGTTTGGAGTAAGAAACTTTCAGTGTGCATAATACCTAATTAGATACCTCTTATTATAGGTAGGCAGTAAATAACATTAATATTCTAATCCTGTGAAGTCTGGAGACTATAAAAAAAATCTGAATAAGATGAAATAGACTGACTTTGAATGCCAGCAAGATAGAATGGCTCCTTGTCCACAAATTGTCTATTGGCCTCTACACCAGAGGTGGATTACTCCCAATTCATCCCAGATCAGGCGAACCGGTGGTGGCGGTGGTGGGAGGCTCCACCCACCTGCCTGGAAAACTCACACAAGAGCGCATGAGCGAACCGGTAGTAAAAAATAATAGAAACCCACCACTGCTCTACACCGCTTCTGAATAGACTTACATTCTCCCTAAATGAGCAGGTCAATGAAAGAATGGCTGTGGGAGTTTGGGGTTCAGGGGATATCCTAGCTTTTGCTTTTGGTTTTTTATAAAGAAGGAGGCTTTTGACAAGTCTCTCATGTCCTAATTTCTTTGAATTTCAATCATTATTGATCCTTGTTCTTACCTTGAGAATAACAATGTCTTCCAACCAATGTCTTCACATCAGCATTTGGGGATTAAGAACCATGGTATGGATTGTTTTTAACTCTTATATGTATTTTTGTTGTCTGTTGGTTTTTTATTATTATATTTATGTTATGATTATGATTTTAGCCAGTAGAAGTTTCTGGAAGTGGCCAGTATATAAATGCCAATAAGTAAGTAAGTAAAATACTAGAAAGTTACTGTTAGGGTGTTAATGTAATAATGTACTTCCAGCACATTTTCTAACAATCATTCTTACCTTTGGTTGATGAAAAATATATTAATTGTTTTAGGAAACATTAATGCAAGAGGGAAAGCAGTGCAAAACAGGAGTGGAAGATATTTGCATGTCAGATAAACTTTCAAGGAGTGAAAACAACAGCAGTGAAGAGGAAAGAGACAAAACAAAATTACTCTTGGAACGGCTGAAGGCTCTGGAGGTAAGATAAAAAGAAACATTTCTCATCCAGGGTCTTGATTTTTATTGGCACAAAATAGTGGTGCAGTATAAATTTTATCTCTCTCAGTTCACCTAGGTTTTGCTAAAAATATTTTTGATCATGATTCACTAGATCAGGATGAATGAAATGTTGCACCTTGGAATCACTGAAGCTATTTTTCTCTAATGTCAAGGATCATGTACCTTAAAGAGAAACTTCATAAATAAATGTAAGTTGTTCCAAGCTGGAGGCTAGCTCAAAGCCATAGAGACTTTAATACAGAAAACATAGTCTGTATGATTTAGTTTGAAGTGTTAATTTAGCACACAAGCCACAAAAGAACTCCTTCAGCTTTCCATGCTGTGGCAGAGAATGGGACCTCCCAAATCAGAGGTAACCAGTAGAATGCCAATGTAATACATTTTTCAATGTTCCTATCGTTGGCTGGGTAGTAGTAAGTTTGAAAGGCACTGCTTTGCTACATAGTCATAGGATGCATGGAAGTTAGGAGGTTGGGGGAACATGGCCATTTACCTACAGAGCTTTCATGATACAGCATTGCTGGGCTTCTAGATATTGTGCCTATTAAATAATGCATTCATTTTCTTCTTTATGATGTGAAAAAAAGCTATTCCTTTCTCCAACCCCCCCAAAAACCCTTGTAACCAAGACAAGATAGGCATTTGGCCTTTACCCAACCGGCTCCTTGCCTAAGCTGATGTTAGAGGTACTGTTGGAGGTACCAAGGCTATCAGGAATTTCAACATACATACATGTCTCTGAGAAGTGTCTTAGGAGTTCTTGACTACCATGGATCTACTTAGGACAAAATAAACAATTTAAACATTTCTTCCTAATCATCTAGCCACAATATTACATTGTACAAAAGTATACACTTAGAAAATGATTGGGTGTAATGGTCTTCATGATATCAGTAAAAATACTTAAAACTGGCTTATAATTTCATTTATTATATGCTTATACAGCATAACATTTACTATATTTTTTAAAAATACAGTTTGAGAAATTATTTAACAGTTTGAATCATGATTTTATCTGTCTCATAGTTTTAACCTTGTTTTTTTTTCTATAAGTTCTTAACTTTATCAAATCTTATTTCATAAATTTGGGACTTTTCAAATATGCAACCCTTGCAATTGAAATCACACCATATCTTACATTACAGCTTCAATAGCTACATTCCAAAAATGTGAATAAATACTTTTGTTTACCTATTTGTTGCTTAATTTTTCTAATTTTTAATCAATTATAGAGGAGCTAATACTGCATTTCTCATCCTTCCAATATACTTTTCAGTGTGTTCCCAATGAATGATTAGTGTAGTTTGCATAGTTTTTCTTTTCTTCAGTTTTTTTATAATGATGGAGAGTTGTTTAAATGAAATCATAGCACTATATCAGTTATTGCCAATTGTTATAAGAGAGAGGAGGAAAACTCATTACATTTTTTAAAACGCAGTCTTGGCTGTGGAGGGTCACCAAATAGGATTTTTTCATTGATTTTAGTTTTGTGCGGTAGCTTGCTTTTAAAAATAAAAAAAGAATGTACCAGTGCTTCCAAAATTAATCTACAGAAGCAATCCAAGAAGTAATCCATGGAGAAAAATGAACTACAGACTTTTATAACTACTCAAAGATAATTAGAATAAAGTCCTGCTAATTGTATGTTGGCTTTATGTTATATACTCTTAGCCTTATGTATTTGTGCTTCAGAGATTAATTTTTTTTTTAAATTTTGCTCCGAAGCTCTGAAGTTTATTAGGAGTCATACATTTTACTACCATGTCGATTTAATTTTTTTGCAAAAGAATAATTGTTTTATTTCATTAATAGATTGGGTGGGTGAAGCAAAAAATTGCTTTTTAATCTGTTTAGATATCAAGCCTGGTATGATATAATATAAATAAGGGAATAAAATTATATAAATAAGGCATCAAAGATTATATAAATTATCTAATTAGTACAGTTGGACAAATAAAAGCTATAATATGCTAATATACACTTTAGATTGTAAAATTTCTTTAGAACTGTTTTTTTGCCTTTTTTATAAACTTCATTAATTAAATAACCTTTAATTGGCAAAATCCAGATATACAAATATGTGTTTATATGCCATCCATGACTCTCTGCATTATCCTTTGTATAAAACATTTTTATAGCACTCTTCCTCTATTCGATTATGAGATACTGTAAAAGAAGAAAGATATCTCATAAACCCTCAACCCTCTCTTAACCTTCTCTCCAGTCTAGCTAGAGTTTCTACTACATGATTCATTCATACTTATTAAGGAGAAAAGCCCTCTAAAGCTTCTGTGAAGTAGTGCTATAGACACATACTCTTCAAAACAGATGGAAAGAGAAATAATGGCAAAGGGCCTTAATAAGGCCTACTTAGGAGAAAAGGAGAAAAAACAAGAATGGCAAAGCAACTAAAGACGACAGCCCCTAGTAAAGTTACAAGTGGTGCACTGATTAATCTGATTATCTTGCAGTATGTGAAAACTATCCAGCACCCATGTCTGCTCTAGAAATCTGTTCATGTTTTTTTTAATTAGATATCATAATAAGCTCAAGTCTTTTGTATTGTGAACTTTTGTTAAAATGGAAATGGGATTCAAAGATCTTGAGAATTGCAGCTAGAACAGAGATGTTTATTCTAATTTATGTGATGTAGTAGAGATAAGTTTGTTCTTGTTTGCATTGATTGTGACTTGGATCCAAATTAAATCTCTTGTTGGTGTTGCTGACTTTATATCTCGGAACGGATACAAAGTCTTTATTCCCTTGGTCAGGTAGTAGAAAGGAAAAGACAAATGCATCTGTTCCTAGTAAAAGTAAAGAATGCATTATTATACCACTTATTTAACAGGTATCTAGAGAGGTGACTGCCTTTGTACATGGAATTAGGTGATAGGAACCTAGCATAATACATAGAGCATCAAAATGACACATAATTTTCATTCTCCTGAACAGAAGAGACAATTTTGATTAATTTCCACATTCATCCTTATCCCTCATTGCCATCTTCCCCCACCCGAATTCTAGAAGGACTTCCAATACTGAAGCTATTGTCAGAGGACAGAAGACTACAGGGGAACAGTAATATTGTAAGGGCCAGTAAGGCCTAGTAAGGTATTGTGCACACCTACATAAACTTTCCTAATAGTGTGAGATTGTGTCTCTGTCTCTGTCTGTGTGTGTGTGTGTGTGTNGCAACTTGAAGATGTCCAGACTTCAACTCCCAGAATTCCCCAGCCAGCGAATGCTGGCTGGGGAATTCTGGGAGTTGAAGTCCGGACATCTTCAAATTGCCAAGGTTGACAAACACTGGTCTAGAGAAACAAAGAACTGGGAATGATATGATAGCATTATTTCAGTATTTGAGGCTCTGCCACAAAGAAGCAGGGCTCAACATTTTCCAGATTACCAGAGGTCAGGGCAAGAAATGATGAATGGAAACTAATCAAGGAGAGAAGCAACTTGGAATTAAGAAGAATCTCCCTAACCGTGAGAATAATTAACCAGTGGAATAGCTTTCCTTTAGAACTTGTGAGTGCTTCATCACTGGATATTTTTAAGAAGAGACCGGAACGCCACTTGTCTGAAATAGTACAAGATCTCTTGCTTGAACAAAAGTTGGACTAAAAGTCCTCCACAGTCCCTTCTATCTCTATTTTATAAGGTTTGATTCCTTAGCATCAAAGCCACTCCAGCAAACTAGCTTTCTTTCTCATTACACCGAATGTCCATAATTGAAGAAGGACCTAATAGTCATTGAAAATTGGCTATGACTATAGATGTGGATATGTGGAAATTCAGAAAGCACAATTTAAGCATATCTGTGCTTAAAAATTATGTATTGATCCATAACAAAATAATCTAAACAATGATTAAGCCGAAGATGACCCAGAGAATGAAACCAATGGCTGTGAAAAGAAAGAAGGCCATAGCCATTTTCTCAACCCAGTTTTGTAAATTTGGTCTATTTTTCTTCTTTGAATTAGTATGGAAATATTCCACAATAAACAGTGTGCTGACCACAGGCATGTTGATAATGTCTTTCATATATACCTTTTTTATCTATCAACAGTACACAGTTTGTTTAGTATTAGCTGCAAAGCTAAAAAGTGGAAAATTTTATGTGATGCTTTGCATTCAAGGATACGATAATTGGCAACCTGCTGGTTTTCCTTGCTTCAAATTGCTTTAATATGCTATATTTTCAGATACTAGCTCCCATTTTCTCTTTTCTTGTTTTTCTCCTCCAGAATACTACAGTTTGAATATCAGTGTTTCTAGTATTACGTTACTTTACTTTACTCCGCTTATCACTTTATATGGGATTTATCATATTTTTAATTGAAAGATTGAATTTCAAGTCAGCTCATGGAACATATATATGGAAGATTTTCAAATATAATCTCTCCTCTCCCCCTTCCTGCATTCCCTCATCTTCCTCCCCGTCTCCTTTTCTCTCCTTTTCTCCCCTCCCCTTTCTCCCCTTCCCTTTCTCCCCTCCCCTTGTTGATTATCTGCTCCTATTTATTTTTTGTTTTTTAGTTCTTTTTCCTAAAGGTATAGGTTTCTTTTCTTCTTTTTCCTAACACTTTCCCCATTGCTATCTTCTTGTACCTGGCTATAATTTTCTTTCCTCTCTTCTTCTGTTACTCAAAATGCTATTTTTCTCTTCTCTTACTGTTTGTATTCATTTTTCCCTTACCCCCTCCTTGATTTTGAAAGTTAAAAACATTTTATCACTTGTCTTGCCTGAGGCAACGTTTTTCCTTAATCACTTGGTAGAGTCATAGTTCAGACCCCTCCATCTCCAATCCCTTGGGCTTTTTCTGACACCACAGTCATGCTGCTGGATTATGAAAGGCAGCGATTGGCACTCAGGGCTCTGTGTTAGACATTGCCACTAGCCATTTGACTGCAGAAAGACTAGAAAATGGCAGTTAAAGGGTACCTGCTTTGCATATG